GAGATAAAGTTGGAAGGGCAAGTCACTGTGCTCCAGCTTCTCCAAAGAGATTGTCTTTACCATGCTCAGGATAATAATTCTTTAGAAAGGCACATTAAGATGTGCAGTACTGTTTTAACACCTGATAATTCTATATTAAATATATGTAGTAAGTTTAGAAGTATGGTTTGATGCTTTCTTATCCTTGAGAGAAACGGAATAAACAGAGCTGCTGACATGGCAGCAACACAACCATTCCAGAAGGGAAATAACAGTGGTTTAAAAGGATGACGAGCAGGGGGTCAGCCGTGTTCCCAGAGCAGCAGGGCCGCGCTAAGAGCTCCGCAGGGAGCCTGGCTGCAGGGGAATGTGGCGCTGGCAGGGCCGGGAGCAGCCCGGCCAGCCCTCCTCCCCCGCAGCCCCTCGGCTCCGGGACGCGCTGCCAGCTGCTCCCTGCTCCGGGCTTCCCTCGCTGCTCCCGGGCTGGGCGCTGCTGCCTCGTGGCTGCTGGCCATGCGCTCCTTCGGGATGATTAGGGTCAGGGGAGCTGCCTTCCCTTGGCTGCTGCAAGATGGTGCATTAATGTTCTCTCCTGAAGAATGAAATCACCGGGAACTGGCCCCTTTCCCAGTACTGAATTTCACCCACAAATGCACCCACTGTGAAACTGTCAGCTCCTGTCTCGCTTCCCACAAGCAAGAAATATTCCTACAATTTCCACTATCTATCTGGGAGAGCCTAAGCTCTGCACAGTTTGAACTCTACCTATAGAAATAATAAATGGCATTAAAACCAATAATTCCATCATCACACAAGCAGTAAAAATGATAGATTATGTACCAAAATAACGCATAGAAAAGTCTGTATTTTACTAAGTCCGACTCCAAGAATTATAGCTAATACTACTCATTTTTACAATAATTACTTGCCATTGATTTAAACAGAGCCAAAGAAGCATTGGGATATTTAAAAAAAAAAAAAAACCCCAAAAAAAAACCCCCCAAAAAAAAAAAAAAAAAAACAAAAAAAAAAAACCAAAAAACCAAAAAAACACCCCACACTAGAGTTTCAAACAATGAGAAGGGGGAATATTTAAAATATTTTATAACATATATAGAGAAGTAATAAAGAAACTCCACAGACCTCAATGAATGGTTCTAATTGGGTCTGGATGTTTTTCTCAAAGGCCACAAATATGCTGTTTGAATGCTAGCTCAGTTTCCATTATTTTGGAGGTTTAAATTTCTGACACATATCCCTCTAATGCTCTTAATTTATTTAGTGTGAACTGCTGCAATTTTAGCAACACAGTTACAACTACACTCACTTAGTAATTCTTTTTGTATCATATATGTTACTAAATTAAAATGTTTTGGGCTAAAGAACAAGTTGTCTCCTTAGCAAGAAAATAATGTCTATAAAGTGCAGCGTGTCAATAAGAGATTGTAACACTTTTTTTTTACTAGATAAACTAACTGCTTACTACACTTTTGATAGTAAATGTGTTACATCACATAAATCTGTCTCTTTAAAAGCCATTCATTCATTCATTTGTGAAATGAACACAAGTTTCTGTGGCTAATTCCCAGGGTTTGAGGCAGTTGAAAGAAGTTAGAATGAGCTGCCTCAATGGGGTTTGAGAGGGACACTAATTCAAAGCACACCCTTTCCTAAACAGGGGCTGAATGGAAGGCTGAAAATGGAATTTTCCTTTGGGATGGGACTGGAAATTTCCATGACAGCTGGAAGTGGGATTCAGGCCTGAAATCCCATGTTTTGCAATGGATGGGGATATTTCAGAATAATCTTTGACTATTAATCTGGAAAAGCTGACTTGACCTCAAAAACTTAAAACAAAAAAAAAAAAAGAGAAATAAAAAGAGAGAATGACTTTGGTGTTTAGAAACACCCTAAAAATCCTTATTATGGTCAAGGAGCTGGAAAAACCGTGGTGACAGAAGTTACTCAGCTCTTTAAAGCTGCAGTTGACCAGGCTGAACCTGAGAAATTGAGCTGCAGTTTGATGGATGTTGACTCTGTCAACAAGAGTCCTCTTGCTGTATTCCTTACAACTTCTCACTGTCTTTAGTCTTAAGCAACTGGAATTATTAAAACTGAATATAGCTGCTGAAATTAATTCAGGTTTACTGCAAAAGCCCTGCTTTTTAAAGAAAGAAGCCTTGCTTTGAAGAGGCATTCACCATTGGATTTTTGCCTTTAAAGTCATTTGTATGGTATGAGATCATGTGTCACAGGGATGGGAAGTACATGAACCCTGCCTGTCTTCTGTTTGTCAGCCCACAGGAGTCACTTCCAAAGGTTACAAAGAATTAAAAAGCACTTCTTTTTGCCCTCCATACAATTCAGGTCACCTCCCCAAGGCCTGTTCAAACCCTGCTTATTACTCAACAGCAAATGAGAAAGAGGAAGGCATCATTTAAAGGCTAAAATGAAACAGATTTCTCCCAAAACAATACTGCTAAATGTTTTTTGAAACAAAAACCAACATTATTAAGCTGAAAAGGACACAAACACCTGCATTTCCTTTTCAGATCAAGTGCAAGCCTTATTATCCGTATGATTTCCAATGGTCTCAGACTCAGAATGTTGGGAATTGTGAGTTTATTCCATCCGCTCCCCTCATCCCACAGGAACCATCCACCCAACGCTATCCAGAGCACAGCCAGGCACTCTAAATTTAGCCCCCAGCGTTCCTGAACACTCCAAACATTTTGTAACAGCAGCGAGCACACGCTCTGGGGGCTCAGTGGGAGCTCAGAGCTTCCTTTCCTGGCCAGGGTGGCTCCTCCTGGGGGAGCCTGGGCACCCCAGTGGCCCCCAGAGAGCAGGGCCAGCAGCGCCTCAGCCTCACCACCCACCCCGCCGTATGCGCCGTGTTCCAGCCGCGTGGGAAGGGCTCTCCACCTTTCCTTCTCACAAATAAATAAATGTCAGCATGGCCGGGAGCCATCAGCTCTCTGTTTAATACCAGAGCAAAACAATCCCGGCCTGACCGTGGTGCCAAAAGTTGACAAAGTGTCCTGAGTGTGGAGTTCTACTCTATTTCGTTTTAATTAGCGTCTTCTGCCACGAGACAAATGATGAAAAGCACATGGGGACTGCCAAGATGAATCAAGGACATCTGGTAACTTTAACATTTCAGCATGAAACAGAGTAGGTATTACTCCCAGAGACTCTTCTGTGCTGTTTGAAACAACTAAAAAAATATATCAAATTAACAAAAATTACAGAAAAAGGCTGCCTAAATGCTTTTGAATATCTTCTTAGGTAGTTTTAATTGCTGTTTTTCATAAAACATGAAGCTGATCTTGCATCTTGTTGAATTAGCTGTGACTTCCCTAAGACATTGTAATAAGGAATTTTTATCGTTCAGATCATATCACATTAAGATTATCTGGATTATAGTTTCTTAAAAACTCCAACTGCCTCTGGATTCTGAGGGAAAAACAACTGATCATGGAGTTAAAACTGCTTTGTGATACTTGCATTGATATACATCCTCCCGGGGCTTGTGACTCACTGATGATGCAGAACACACAAACATAAAAAAAATAAAAACCAAAATCCAGCAATGACATCGTCAGCTGCAACTGGGAGCTCTCTGCTCAAAAAGAACTGCAATGTTTCTTATCTTCCAAGTTTCTTACCCTTCAGTGTTTCTTCCCCTGCAAACCCACCTGGCATTCGCTAAATAAATGAGTGTTAAATTGAAAATAAAGAAATGGCATAAAGAAAAATATTGCTTAGACATAACCTTCCAGGACAAGTGATGTGACTTTCTGTCACTGTCAGCTGTGAAAGACTAAGACTAACTGTGACAATCACATTCTTAACTCTCAGGGCTTTTACATATTCACAAGATCACAATACGATCAGTCAACGCACTTGCCGGAAATATTCTAAAATTAGTTTGCCTCTAAAATAATTCACCAAACAGAAGACAGATTTACAGGAGCACCCTGACATGCAGAGGTAATTGCTACAATGCAGAGAACAACAGGTTTCAGCAAGACATTGTCCTTGTTACAATACATAAAAATGTGAGGACCTTTTTGCATATGAGGCTCGTGATTTGGCCATTTTTCAAGGTATATCTCACATTAAGGATATCGTTCCCTCCCATGTGTACAAGCTATTTTAAATGTGTAGCAATTATACTCGTTCATTAATTGTATTTATGGACCTGATAGCTCTGAAAATAGCTTTCCAGCAGCAATGAATAAACAATCCAAAATGCCTTTCACAAATGAAAGACATTTATTAGACAGCAAGAGAATATTCACTACAGTTTGTCTCCCACTGACAGGTTATCTTTTAAGTTTTAGTTGGTGCAGCATCTTCAGATTGTCACAAATGCTCCTTTGCCAGGACATGGGATGAGTAGATATTGTGCAATGTGTAATTTATCACAGGATCATGGAATGGTTTGGGCTGGAAGGGAGCTTAAAGGCCATCTATTCCAACCCCTGCCATGGGCAGGGACACTTTCCACTGAACCTGGGTGTTCAGAGCTCCATCCAACCTGGCCTTGGGCACCTCCAGGGATGGGGCACCCACAGCTCCTCTGGGCAGCCTCTGCCGGGGCCTCACGACCCTCACAGCGAAGAATTCCTCCCGAACACCTGCACTAAACCTACCCTCTTCCTTTCTCGTGGCCACTTCCCCTCACGCAAACATTCCGATGTCGAGCCCGCTCTCCGAGGCTGCTCCTGGCCCCGGCCCGGGCCGCGGCTCGGCGGGACAGCGCCGTCCCCTCACGGCGGGGCGAGCCCCTGAGGGGACGGCGGCCGCGGAGGCGCCGCCGGCGGCGGCGGAAGCTCCAGGGAAGCCCCGAAGGAGGCAGGGATTAGGTAACGAGCGATGTTGCGCTCAGGTTTCCTCCGGGTTCCTGTGAGGAACCTACGCGTCTGGCTGCCTTCGCGTGACTCATCAGAGCGGCGCGGCTGCCGCCGCTGCCGCTCCCCCGCCAGCGCCGCGGCCCGAGCCGCCCCCTCCGGCGGGCAGGGAGCTCTCTGCGGGCGCAGTGCTGATCCGCCGGCGGGCGGCCGGGAATGCGAAGCGATGGCCGCGGGCGGCTCGGGCAGCGGCGGCGGCGGCAGCGCGGAGGAGAAGACCTACCGCCGCTTCCTCGAGCTGTTCCTGGGCGAGTTCCGCGGGCCCTTCGGGGCAGAGCCGGAGCCCGAGCCCGAGCCCGAGCCGGAGCCCGAGCCGGAGCCGGAGGCGGCTGCCCCCCCTCCCGCTGCCGAAGCAGCGGGCGACGCTGACGAGGAGCCCGGGGCAGAGGGAGAAGCGGGAGCGGCCGCCGAGGCGGAGGAGGGAGAAGGCGGCGAGGGCGATGCCGGCGACCCTCAGCCGCCCGCCCCGCCGCCGCCGCCCCCGCCGCTGCCCTCGCTGCCCCGGCCGCTCTCGGAGTACATCACGGAGGAGGAGGTGGAGGGCGAGTGCCTGGACCTCTGCCTGCAGCAGCTCTACAAGTAGTGAGTGCCGGGCTGAGGGGAGCGGGGCAGGGCGCGGGGCTGAGGGACCCCCGCGTGTGGGGCTGAGCGAGTCCCCGGTGTGAGGCTGAGGGGACTCCCTCAGTGTGAAGCTGAGGGACTTGTCTAGTGTGAGGCTGAGGGATCCTCGTGTGGGGCTGAGGGACTTCCCTAGTGTGAGGCTGAGGGACTCCCCGGTGAGGTGCTGAGGGACCCTCGTGTGGGGCTGAGGGACTTCCCTAGTGTGAGGCTGAGGGGATTCTCTCAATGTATGGCTGAGGAGACCCCCAGTGTGGGGCTGAGTGACTCCCCAGTGTGGGGTTGAAGGGATTCCCCCAGTGTGTGGCTGAGGAGACCCCCAATGTGAGGCTGAGGCAGGGAAGCCAGGACAGGGGAGATCCCCGAGGCAAAAGAGTTCAGGACTTCGGTGGTGCTGAGCATCCCGGGGTCACAGCGTCCTGCCCTGTGCGGCTGCCCCTGCCCCAAGGAATCCTCTGCTCTGCGCCCTCTGCTTGCCTCTGGCCGGGACAGGAGAAGGGAAGAGACAAGGGAGAGCCACGAGCATCCATCTGGAGAGCAGCTTGCTGGGGAGGCAGAGCGCTGGGGGAAATGTCTCACGCTCTGGTGCCAAAGCAAAGAGGGGGGTTTGCCTGTGGTTGATTGTGCTGGGGCTTGAAATTGAAATGTTCCCCTGTGAGGGCTGGTAAATGGGGAAACCTCTGCCAAGAAGGGGAAAGAAGAAGGGATGAGGAAAGAGAGGCGGTCCAGTCCCTTCACCCTTCCAAAAAACCACTGCACATGGAGAAAACCACATTGTGTATTCACAGACCGGGGAGAAAAGAGTAGAAAACCATGGGAGAAAGCTCTCCATAATCATGGGGATTTTTCTGCCGTCAGCTGGGGAAAGCCGGCTATACTCGGTTCTGTACGGAGGCAGTTTCCAGATCTGTGCTTTCTAAAGGCTGGTGCATAAAGAGGAAACAGATGGGATCTATTCCCAGTGTGGAAAGTCTGCGGACTGAAACCTAAAGATCAGTTACCAGTGCCTTGTATTGTGCTCAGCTCCGGCTTTGAAGGCTCGAAATAGGAACGGTTGTTAGTGGCAATTCTTTAGGAACCTTTTTAAACTGATGCCACAGGAGGAGACAAATGAAGCTGTGAAAATCTGCACAGCACACCGGGGAGATTTTCTGCCATTGAGCCGGTAATTGTAATGAGAGGTGTTACTCAGTCGCAGAAATAAATAAATAAAGAGAGAAAAGAACCGGGTTTTACAACTGCATGGTCTGTTTCTATCCAGTTCTCATCTGCCCTCTGCGTTTGTGGACGGTAGGGACAACACAATGATAGCTGCAGAGGACAAAGCTCTCCTATTCACACATGCTCACCCTGCCACCTTTGGAAAATCTCTGGAATACAGCAGCACATTCATAGGATGTGGTAGAGAGCAGAGAGGCAAGTCCCTTCTACCTATTTAGGACGTGTTTTGTTGGGTTATTTTTAAACAGGCTTGTGAAATCCAAAGTCACGATAGTGGGAATAAAGTTCTAGACGTGGAGCAGATTATTTGAAAGTATTATTTGAAGTATAGCTATGAAATTATTTTGAACTGGAATTCCTCCCCAGTCCCTTCTCTCTCTGCCTGTCCCCATACCCCAGATTCCCCAGTTTCTGAAGCTCATATTCAAGGCTGAAATTAATGATAAATTTTAAAAAAAGACCTTTTGAGAGGAATCTTTTTATAGAGACAGCTCTTGCCAGGTTGTGGCTCTTTGGGTTTTTTCAGCTTTCAGTATAAATCTTTGGCTGGCCACTGAATGAAGCATCCCCTGGCTTTGTTTGTGGTGAAATCAATGCAGGCTTCCTCCTCTAGGCAAAAACCAAATTCCACCTCAAAATCAAGGGAGCAAGGGATTATGTTGTGAGATAACAGTCTCCTAAAGGCTTAAATAAAACATTTTAAAATATTATAATCCAAATCTAACAACTCCCAAAAGCTAAACTGAAATAGCTTTTTATTGAATGGTGGTGGAATCTGAGGTAAGTGCAAATATGCAAAAGTATTCTTCAGGTAAGGTACTGTATTTTTAGTTCACTCTCCAGTCACCAGAGAAACTTTAAATGTGACAAGACTATAAAACAGGCAAAAGCAGAATGAGCCAAGGGCTCAACTGGTCAGATGGCTCCAGAGGTGGGAAACTTGATGTGTGTGAGTAAAGCTGCTCTTGTGCCTACAGTTATGAAAGTGTTAAAAAAAAACAAAACAAAACCAAAAAAAACACCTAAATAAAAAAAGCACATGAAAACTCATGTAAAAAGGAATATTTCTTTTGTTTGTCATTAGCAGGAGAGACTATTCTGAAGGCATGTTTTCTGCAACTATATATTAGTCAAATGACTGGTTTGCATTCTATGTAGCATGAAGATAAAACCCATTGCTGTGAAAAATCCAACAGCTGTTTTTCAGCTATTTTAAGCACAGAGCTTTAGATCTTTTTGAGGAAAGTAAGACCATTTCAGAAATGAGAACATATTGCTAATCATGACAAAATAAAATGTTTTTCTGCCACTGTGTAGATCAGTATCAAAGAGTGATACTGATATTTATGAGATTTTCCTTCTATTTTCCAAAAGACTCACATTCCCCTTTGAGGTTTCCTGTTCCTGTTTGGGTTTTTTGTTTTGTTTTGGGTTTTTTTATTTTATTTTTTGTAGAGGCAACATATGCTTGGAAAATTAGATTAATGTAATCTTTATATCTGTCTAAATGCCACAAAATGGGCACTGTGTGTTTTCTTAGTGACCCTCCACAGAATAGAACCCATCAATAGGAGCTGCATTGGATGGAGAAAATACTCAGAAGGGGATTGCCTTGGAACATTGGCTGATAACCACAAAATGAACTCTCAGGCTATAGCTAGACCATATTATTCAAGAGAAAAAGATAATTTACAGAGCTTCTATGTGGAAACAAACATACTATGGCCTTAAAACATTAAATATGAGAGCCCATCACTCGCTCCTGCTGAATCAGACCTGATTTCTGACTCACTGTAAAGGAAGAAGTTACTAACTTGAGTAACAAAGTTACATATCATGCCCTGGTCTCTTCCTCTTCCTACTGATACTTTTATTAAACCTGATGCATTTAAAGAGCTGGTTCTTGCCAAGACCTCTGAAAAACAAATCAGCAAAGTTGTGCTTGCCAACAGAGGACACAGCCAGACTCTTACAAGTTGTGTCACCAGGAAGAACAAATTTGTATTGCTGCTACACTCTTTTTTGCCCTGTGCAAATGAAATGCTTTGAAAAAATCAACTCTATGTTCTTCTTGTTTTTCTTTTTCTCTTTTTTTTTTTTTTTTGTCCCAAGCTTTGATGGGAATAGATATAGTTGGTATAATTTCTAGATTCAGGTTTATTTTCAGTGATTTTGGAGATACAACATTTTTTGCTTTCAAAAGTTCATTTAGGAATTCAAATTTCATTTGAACAAGCTTAGAAAGTAGCCTTGCTTCTCCAGTGCTGAGTTTGCAGAAGATGGTAAGTAAAATGTTGGTATAATTTCTAGGTTCAGGTTTATTTTCAATGATTTTGGAGATACAACATTTTTGCTTTCAAAAGTTCATTTAGGAATTCAAATTTCATTTGAACAAGCTTAGAAAGTAGCCTTGCTTCTCCAGTGCTGAGTTTGCAGAAGATGGTAAGTAAAATAAAACTAAAATTTATTGTTATGTCATCTTAAGTGCTTAACTAAGTCCCTGATGGCAACATGATTATTTTTAGGATTGCAAAAGCCTTGCTTTGACTTGGAACATGAAAAGAAAAACTTCTAAGCACTGTCCTTTTACATTTCTTCACAGAATACTGTGCAACATTCACAGAACACTTAGATTCCAATGAAATGCAGTATACAAAGTGAGTTATTTTATTGATCCTTTCTTTCTCTTCAAGAGAGAAAATATTTTTTTGCTTATGAATTTCCCACAGTCTTACTATAAAAAATCAAGAAAGACAATGTAGGCTCACCCTTTTAACACTGGAGTTAAGCAAAATGGGAGCAGTAAATGAGAATGGAGGTTTTGCCCCTCAGCTTGCAATGTTAAGCTAAAGAAGACCTTCTCATGGTAATTTTCCATGAGCAGAAATCTCTTTTTTAATAAATTAAGCTCTTGAAAACTGTTCTTTCTGCTATCTCCATCTCTGTTGAGGGGAGAGATGGAATTCTTTCCCTTTAAATAGCAGATATACACGTTTTTAACTTGCTCTCTAAACCCCTATCAAAGGAAAGCTGGCACTGTTGTCACTTTAAGTTGAAATTTATGTATGATGCTGGATGGGCTTTCTTAGCATCATATTAAATAGGCTGTGATGTTTTACTCCTTCATAATTTGTCTTTTATAATCAATTCTATTGATTGCAATCTCAAAGCCCTTTTAAGAAATATAATGAACTACTTGCCATGTCTAATATTAATCACAAGGACCAACAAAAAAGTCATTGCATCCTTTTTAACGTGGTGCTTTTTTCATCATCTTTTGTGAGGTTTTACAATAGAAATGATAATGTTGGCCTGTGCCCACAGTGAGTGACAGGAGCAGATATTGGCTGCACCTGGCTGGGGCATTTTCTGTAGTTAATGAGATTGGAGAGAGAACATTCAATTTAGACTCCATATTAGGAATATTTAGTCCAATCTGGGCTTGGATTAGATATCAGCAAGGAATTGCTCCCTGTGAGGGTGGGCAGGCCCTGGCACAGGTGCCCAGAGAAGCTGTGGCTGCTCCATCCCTGGCAGTGCCCAGGCCCGGCTGGACAGAGTTTGGACACCTGGGACAGTGGGAGATGTCCCTGGCCATGGCAGGGGGGGCACTGGCTGAGCTTTAGGGTCCCTTAAAAACCAGTCTGGGATTTCCCACCCCAAGGCTGTGGCTGTGGTAACTCCCACAGGAGCCCCTCCAGGGTCAGGAGTCCCCTCCAGGGGTGCTTGTTGAGCTGCCTGGG